CACACCACAGCTCCCTTGGGAGAGTGACGGGTCACTCTCATGTAACCCCGTTACAGCTATCAATTGTGATGATGGAATTTTTGCAACATGGAAAGATTCCGGTCGTTTCAAAGTAAGGCAAAAGCATGACAACAGAACAGACACTTCGTCATATTTATGCGAATGAACGCAACATGTGACAAATTCCCGCACGCAGTCAAACACGCAGTTATCAAGTTTCCTTCAAGTGCGTCAGTTTTGACTTAATCTTATTAAACAAAAACAACGAAATGAGCAGCTACAGACATAGCAATAATTTGCTTGCTGCACTTGTGTTGTGCCAGTTGAGCCCAAAGAGCTAGCAATTTGTGTGTTCGGCAACTTTTGAAATAAATCTTTCTAACTTTCCTTAAATCGGCTTAAGTAATTATTAAATAAACGAATTGTCTTGCCGTATCCATGCGAATCAATAACCTAAATGAAAGCGCGCAAATTAAAGTTCGCATCCGCACCAGGCAGATAGACGCTCATGAGAAATATATGTAGCCGTCAGAAACTTGGTATGTCTAATTTATGGCAAACTACCTAATTAAGTCATTGCCATCTTTTCAATAAAATTTGCGGCTTTTTGTATAAAATTTATTGTGTAATGGGATGAAGGTCGGAAAATCCAGCTACCAATATCTAATTTATGGCAAACTACCTAACTAAGTCATTGCCATCTTTTCAATAAAACTTGCGGCTTTTTGGTATACAATTTATTGTGTAATGGGATGGAGGTCGGAAAATCCAGCTACCAATATGCTATTAATAATTCTCATCCTGGGTAAAAGTTAGCACCGTTTTGTTTGGATCGTTCGAACGCATGAACATAAATCCACCATGGCCCTTAAATCATGACTCAAATTGTAGCCATGCTGACGCTCAAGCCGTTGAATTGTCTAGCATCAGGATTTAAGAGCGATAGCATATTTATCCTCATACCATGAAGAGCCATGAGCGATACCCTTAATACACTTTGTTGAGAGCAGACTAACGTGTACGGTCCACAGTGTAAAGGCTTAGTGTAATTGCGACTTGATTGCGAATTAAATCTTCGAATCTTTTGTATACGAATCAACATGTCACAGTATAGACTGTTCGGTTGAACTTTCAACATAATGTCTCAGAAATGATATCAACTAGCTATCACTCATACTGCAGTTAATGCCGGTTATGGGAGAGCAGACGACTATAGAGCTCATAAGTCTGGCACCTCTCATTTGTCAGGAGGTCAAAAATGAGCATCGTTATGTTTGCTGAGATAGTGGACGTAATTATTGAAGTGTCCTATCCAGAACAGATGTGCAAAGGTATACCAAGTGTTTGATTTCACGGACACACATTAAACCGAGAGATATTAGCTGTTCACGCCGAAGCTGCTTATCAATTTCTTCTCAGTGAATACTAATCGTGCAGACGAATGAGTTATGCAAATGTCGGCAATGACCCAACGACCAAACTCATTGAAATTTGATGAAGATTCAACCTTCTGCTTCACCATCTTCTTTGGCTTCATTTACTTTGATATAAAAAGAACCTTCTTGATATCAATCTTTCGATCGTCTGTGCCTTGCGATTCTAGTTTCGAAAAAAAATGGCGTTAGCTTTCAATTATGCACCTCAAACAGATTTTTTTGACGATTGGATGAATATTAATTCGTACAGAACATATATGACGGGTTAAATTTTATCCCTCTGAGATCTTATAGCTTTTTTAATATCATTTTAAAAAATTTTTTTAGGCACAATGTCGACTCGACATCGTGACTTTATACGTAGTATCAAATCAAGGTTGTTAGTCATTCGACATTTCTTTACTACTTGAGTCGACTTCATGGCCTCTGCAGATGTGCTTTCAAACTCGTACATTCTATTGACGCCTACAGCGGCATCAAACAGACAGCGAAGTGCGCTCGCAGAGCCTGCCAGCGATTTGTTAGCCCGCAAGTGGGCAGCAGCGGCCAAGCGCAAAGCCTCAATCGAGTGCATGGCTCTACACGAGCTAGACGCTGATAATGGCTCGGACCGGACTTATTCGCGAAGTACCGCTGATCGTAGCTCAGAGACAGGCAATGATGAGACCACAAGCACTGATGGTAATGATGCTGATGGTCTAGAAGCGACTGAGGAAAAGAAGCAGAATGAGGAGGAAGACCACAACAGGGATAGTGAGATCATTCCGACATATGTATGTAAAATACATGACCCGAAAGCCGTATTAGTCGGTAAGTCAATACCGATTTGTGATCGGAGGTTGGTTGTTAACCTTTTATGCTTATAGCGGAGCAGATTGCGTGTCACCGTGTCGATATTGTACCATGTGACACAAGCCATGGTTATACAGAGACGATCTTGTTCCAATACAAGATCTCAGTTGGACGTGCAAACCAAATGTTCAAGTGTCTGCCATCAAAAGCACTAAAAGTGTTGAAGAATCTGTTGAAAGACAAGAAATGTGCAGATCAGCTACAGTTCGTTGAGATGCATCGTCTTAAAGGTGGATTGATCGGATCACTACGACGATTTTGCATGTCGCCTTCTCAACTCTCAACTGAAGTCCGTAACGTGCTCGAAGCCATTTCAGATATCGATGCGGTGCTTAACAACTCGATATATCTCAACCTTGTTGGGGCCAAAAAGGGATCTCTCCTAAGTCGGGAGATCGACAACCTGTTGAAGTCGCACCACCAAGATTCGGGGATCCAAAGTTTGTGTATGTGTGACACGTACTACAAGTCGGTTCAGCGTTACGGGGAGTTTTACCGAGAATTGGCGGCAATGTCGAATGATCAGTACCGCCAATCCACAGTGGCTAGCGAGACGCTCATGAGGTCACGAGGCGTGCTGTCATTCTATACAGACACCATTTACACCTTAGACAAGCGAGAATTTCGCGCAACGCGTGGATTGAAGCAATGCAATGTCTACGGTTTTAGCCGCCGAAAGCTCTTTGAAATTGTGCGTGTATCTCGCAAACTTTGGTCAGTGCGTCATGTCGAATATGGTGAGATCTATACATTATTACTTACGAAGTACGCGAGCAGTGTGCATCATATGGTGGCCGTGAGACGCATGGTGCCTGACATCAAGAATGGTGGCTTACGACAAGAAAATGTGTGTTTTATCAAGAAGTCGAGGAGTCAGGGATACCGTTGCATACTAAACTCGGAGGTAATTTCGCAAGGAAAAGTTACGACATCAATTTCAATGGAAAAACCAAAGTCGCCGCCCGGAGACCCCAATTTTCACTATATGACCATGAGCGAAGTCTCAGGGCCGTCACGTGCATCGATTTGCAGCAGTACACTTAGTGTTCCAAGTGAACATCATACGCATCTCCAGCGACTGATTGTAAGTGGCGGCAGCGATGTTGTGACGTATCTTACCTTGGCTGCGAGCTACGACATTCTCGTTGGTGCGCTCAGCTTTTGGATGGAGCGCAAGTATTGATAGATAAAGTATGTAAATATTTACACTGATTTCAAAAACTACAGGTATACCCCGTAAAGTAAAAGTTTTTACAAAGGTAACCAAGCCCAGCTTTACGTCCGCCCATTGGAATTCGTTGAATGGTTGCTTGCGACATAAGCTATCGCTGGCAGAGCGACGGAATATCTAGAATGACGTCATCGTGTCCATCCTCGTCTTCTTTAATGTGGCTTGCTGCTGATGTTACTATATAATGGAAACAAAAGCGATCTTTTGTTTGTTTTTATTGATTTCTATACTTTGATCATGACTTCAAACAAACTTAGTATTATAGATACCCACCTTAATTATATATTTTAGTATCGATAATTACGATGTCGTAATATGAAGTACATGATGACGCGCTAAACCAAGTTCATAAAGCTCGGCTTAATAGACTCAAACAAGAGGCCATCGTCGAATGATTTGTGCCGCGCAAATCACCCTTCACTGGAAAGGATGCAATTGTAAAATAAAACTCCAAACGCATCTAATAACAATTTTTATCAAAACTTGTCGCGAGTCACCAAGAATAAGTCATAGCATATACTCTCTAAGTCAAAACCGTTAGGGTATATATATTTAAAGTAATACATAGTTGCAAAATCGCCAAATCGCAGGAATTTGATTAAATTTTTTCTAACATAAAAATCCGATAAAATACTATATCTATTCGTATGATATAACTCGTATCAAGTCATCAAAATTTTATTATTTTTACATATTATGTCCTTTAGCTACTCATATTGAATTGTTAAGATTTTACCAATAAATCCATGTTGGATAGGCAGATGAAGTCTTGCATTACCGATGTTTATGGTCTGTGATTGCGGGAACTGGGATCACGCTACTGAATATATCTTGTATAGCCGGATGACAACCCATGATGCAACGGGGTTGCAGGTAATGACTCCACGAATCTACGTAAAGCTGCTCAAAGGATGGAATTCTCACAGTCCATCAAAGGCTGAATCAAGAGCCTCTCAAGTAGCCAAAATTTAGCTTATTTCAAGTGGTAGATATATATATCCTTTGCATTGTCTAGAGATCCGTGGTGTACGTAGGCTGCTATCTAGCGGTTTTCTAAGAGATTTGGTAAAACGTATAGGACTGCTGTATGACTGAATAATATTTATCTTCAAAGCATGTCACCCTTGAAATAGCAGAATCATCTAGTAACGGTAGAGGCTCCCACTTCAACTTCTGGACAGCGTGTGCGAATCTAATATTTAGGAGGACTCATTGAGTTGTAGCTCCCTCGTTGTAAAGAGGATCAACTCGCTGCACTTCGTAGCAGTCGTAGTCAATCCCACCACCGATGGTGAAAGACTGTATCCTATGTAAGCATGACACATGATATGTTCCAGAACCTGCCCTGGGGACAACTAGCCACAGTTGATAAGCTGATGACGATGGTATGAACCCGACAAAACCAGTCATTGGCGGTCGAAGGATCAGATACGAGCCGCTCCATGAACATGACAAGAGCATTTTTCATTGCAGCAAAGAACAGAGTGGCTTCTTGCTGCCGCATGAAAGTCTCAAGAATCAAACGCAATCACGCATTTTTGTCCATCGGTATCTCATTGTAATTAAGCACAGTCTATGACAAAAGCTTAAGCGTGATAATCGCCAAGAAGTTGCTCATCAAAATGCTAGTGAGTCAAAATCGGGGCACGTGTTCAACATTCTTCCAAAGCCTCAAAAGCTGTCTCTTATACGCATTTCGGCACATTTGGAGCGCTTTCCAAAGGAGTTTGATAAAGGTAGTACCATGTTAGCATATTTGCAATATTCTTGTGAACGTAGATGACCACGCCAAGCCACGTTTAAAGTCGCCTCGGGAAAGCGACCACAAGGGTTGTGATCTTGGCGAGGTCTATCTACAGACAATGCCTTCCAATAAAGCATGTCATAGCAAAAATTACGTTAGCATCAACACACTTTAATATGTGCCAGGAAATAGCTCGTTTAGTTGCATACATCCAAGCAGTTAGATATCCGGGTCACATTTTTTGCAATTTGCACGACAATGAATGGCCAAATTCTCAAAAAGAATTATAGCGCAGTCATGAGGCGGTCTAACCAGCTATTCCATCAGGCAGTTGAACGTCGCTAATGCATCAGACGGTCCCTGGGATATTATCCACCGGTTGGAGAGAATCCCACTTTATGTACTTTGTTTGGTAAGACGTCTCTGATTGTAGCCGATGATTTAGTGCGAACGTCGACTTCTAGGCATAAAAATAAGCATGCCAGTTCGCTACTTTGAGTTCTGCTTTTTTATATCGAAAATAAACGCCGAGTGGGGAGATTAAGTATTTTCATCAATCCTGCTTCATACTTCGCACAGATGAAAATTATATGACGCCTTTTTTGTTTTTTTGCTAAGGGGCATTGACGTGAGACACAATGATAAATTTCAAGAATCTAGTCAGTTCCATGATACGCTTACCGATGTTGAGGGGTACCATACCTGAAGGTTTCTCGTCACCAAGTTGTGACTTGCTTCAAGAAGGCTATATAGGATAAGTGGCATCGTAGGAGATAGCTGATCTACTCCTCTTCTATTTGCACTTACTGACAAATAGATGTTTGACGAATGACGAGCTTAGCTCATCTTCGGGTACCAATCGTACCATTTCGGCGACTTCATTGTCTTGCAATCCATCCCAAGCATACCCTAGCAATTTTTTCGATAACTGGTAAGATCCTCTACTGGCGGTAGAGAGAAGAGAAGGGACGTATAACCTCTAGAACATCCTCAGTCACTCAATTCATAAATCATTTATCTTCCTTGTCACTTTCATGTGTAGATTAAGCGCTCCAAACGGTGAGCACGTCATATTTAAAGGCTGTCTTAGCAGTCCACTGCATTAAAAAAGTGATAAGTCGATGCTCTTAACATACTCTTTTTTATCTTTGAAAAATGTTCTTTTCTGCACTTAAGAAATCACAGCTTTGTTTCTGCGCCAAAATCGCTACTGCTTCTTACTAGAGGTGATTTTGTGCCTTTTCAAAGCTCCTGTGCGTGACAGTAACTATCCTAATTTTCATACAATATATGACTTCTAGCATTATGGCAAAACCATATATACGATCATATCTTGAAGCCAAATCCAGGACAAGGCAACGTTTCACGCTGTCAAAGGTTTCAAAATTCAGTTTAAGCTTAATCTTCGGTTTTGACATGTCTCATCAAAAGATTCGCGTATATCATATCCATACTTGAATGTCTTCGCGCTCTGCCGACTATTTAAGCAGTTGCGCGTCGCAGTTATTGCACGACACATTCGAATCGATCAGAGCTATCCGCAGCTTCATCAAGCCGGAACGCGTTTGTTGCAAACCACCACTCTTACATGAGGACATCGCTTTCGGGGTGAGCACCACTGACTTCGACTTCCGCGGGCCAGAATTGAGCTCAATTTTCCCGGTGGTCAGTTTGAGCTTATTGGGATATTTTGTTTTCCCGCAAGGGGTTCGTCAGATGATCTCGATCTCAACTGAAAACGAAGATAGCATGCAGGCCACAGATAAGTCGAGCCCCCACTGATATAAAATTTACGAGTAATGAGGAGATTATCTTTTCAGTATGGCTGAGTTCAACCGCCTCTGACGCGCTCAAGGGCTATCACTACGTTACCCCATTGAAACTAGCAAAAATTATAATCTGCAATGAATTCTATGTCCATTCCGCTTTCTCGTTAGAAGTAGGGCGGCAAACCCCATATGAAATATATATCTTATGAATGGTCATCAAACGGATGACCTTTCATAAAGATGGTCACCGTCATCGCCTCCGGAAGAGGGTTTGACGCCATTGCAGCTGTAAGAGCACTTGATACGCCTGGTTAAGCGTCGTGGAAATTTGCGATGTGCATCGCTCAAACGAATCTCATGTCAAGATCACCACTATTTTTGAGTGCGATGTTTTAGCTTGGAGACTGCAAGCGCGACGAATATTGTCCTGTTTGGAGCGCGGCTGATTCCATGGTCATTGCAGTTTTTCTTGTTTGGAGGAAGAAATCTCTTCAACCTTTCGTTCCTCAAAACGCTGGACTATCAACATCAGTGAGTTTGAGACGCTGCTGGAAATTCTTTTCTAGTGCGTTCTAATACTTAGTGAACGCATCCAGATAAGCGATTATAGTGTCTAAATGGATAAATTTCAACTATAAACTGACGCTTTGCTCCATTAGCTGTTGAAGCATTACGTTTAATTCAGATGCCACATTTGTTGCGCTGCTGAAAGCTTTGAAAAGCAAGCAGCATTTTAACTCAAATACCGAAAACAAAGCATGCGTCTGCAGCGCAAATTCAAATTTGACGGCTTGCCGTTCCGGTACTTAGTCCCATTACGATTAAAATGTAATCCTTTCTCTAGACAAAGTCCTCAAGTACAGAATGCCGAATGAGGCACATTATACTATTTTTGGGGATCACAAAGAGACATACCGCTTGATACAGGCAATGAACTGGTGACCCAACATGGTTAGGTGGGTTAGCACATATGTGCGCACCTGCAAACGCTTTCACAGTTCAAATCTTCACCGAATGTGGCGGCACCTTCGGTCAGCCTGCCATTTTGCAGAGTGTTAATAGTTTTTCAGTATGAATTTTGTTTATGGTCTTCCATCCGGTACTAGCGGTATTGCGATCCTTTGTGGAACATATAAACAAGCTTACCCGCCCCACTGGTGTCATTGATAGAGCACAACCAAGATGTTCCGTACCAAAGTTGTTTCGCCAATGAGGCTTACCGGTATCTATTGTACAGATTCGCGCTTTACAGCGAAGTTTTGAAAACTGTTTCAGTAGCTTCACATCTGACTAGACATGAAAAGCTCCAGCATCCTGTTGATATATGATCTGACGCAACAGTAATCGCGAGGTAAAGTTTATCAAAGTGCTTGTTCACCGACGCGCCCATGCTGAAGTGATTGATTGAGTTTTCACTGAATAACGCAGCGCTATTCTTA